TTCCTTCTTGATTGACTAGCAGTGTTTGAACCCTAGCTTTATTGTCGCTGTGTAAATAGACCTTACTTGGGCAAGTATCCCAAGCAACAGGACATTCAAAATCAGAACCGTAACACTGAACGCAGGGAGAAAACCGCAGGTCTTACTCTGTAGAAGTAAACTTGACAGCCAGAGTCATGTCCAAGCCATGCTCAGAGGAAAAATAATCTCTGATGGAGAAGAATTTGTAGACTTTTTAAATACTTGCTTGCTTAAAAACAAAAAAAAAAGCAGATTAAACTAATGAATTCCACTATGTTGGCCATTAGATTTCCAGAAATTACCTCTACCACTTGAGATAGCAGAATGTTACTGCTATCAGTACTTTATCTGCTATACGGGCAAATCAGTAAAGCAGAGAGGTGCTAATGGGAGTCTAAGCTCTGGGTAGTATAGAACCATTTTGTGTATGCCTATATGAAGAAAGATTTGGAAGCATAATATTAAACACTGTATTTTTTTCAATTCCTGTCTCTTCTAGATGTAACGGCATAGAACTTTTTGTTTACATAAAATAAAGTTAGTGGAGGGGGTGATGACAACTTGAACAAAGTTCCTCCCCGTTTGGCTCGTCAGCTGACGTTGCTCAACTCTGCCTTTGCCTCTCGTGGGAGACTAAAACTCTGCTGGGTAGGAGCAGCTTCTATGTCTCTAGCACAGTATTGGGGTGCAGACCCCTCATTTCATGTCTCTTCTTCAAACATGACTTTAGTAGCATACGAATGCTGTTCTGGATAGTTCACCCACCTGGGCATTTCTATTTCTAGTTTAACTCTTTGACTAATAAATAAGTACTAAATTGAGGTGCACACACTCTGCAAAGGAGGTTTTCTTTTGGAATACAAGCAGTTGCATGACAAACATAACAGCACTGTGCAATTTTCCCCACTCCTTGCAGCTTTTTGGAGAGGGTGCTCAATAGCCTTCAGCTGAGAAAACTTAAGTAGTTGCCTCAGTTAAATTTTGTTTCTTTGCTAGACTGTATTGCCTCTTAAAATAAGTTTGCAGAAGTTCCTGCCTTCTCGCCTCTCCTGGACTTTTGTACACACACAAACTCTTCCCAATTAATCGTAGTGGATGGAATAAGCAGTAAATCAAGTTTTTGGCTGGTAGCCCCCAGTGGCTATTTGACAATTGTCCACTGCCTTCATGCCCTGTTTCTATCCAAAATAGACTGTCACAGCAAAGATCCAAGTTCGCTAAACTGAATGAAATGAATAAACACAGAGAGCCAACAAACTCTCTCGGGGATGCTCGCCAGACACCTACGGCAACTTCTCGCAGAAGTGGTCCAGCCACTTGAGAAAGCCAGGCCAAACCACTCGTGCAAAAAAAAAAAAGCATAGAAAACTTCAGGCTGACTAAAATTATACACAAAATATAGGCCGTGGAGCACAAAACCGCGTGGGGTGAGGCGGGCACAATCCCACTTGCTTGGGGGAGGGTTTCTTCTGGGGCTCCTTCAAGCAGGAGCGGACATGTGCAAAGCGGGGGCGGGGGG